CCTTGGTATAGTTATAAAACAAGATACCCCAAAACCCTATGAACGTGTAGGGGTTTAGGGGTTAGGGTATAGGGATACTTATAATTAAGTCCACTATATTACACCCACAAACTATAAAACAAGATACCCCAAAACCCTATAAACGTTTAGGGTTTAGGGTTTAGGGATACTTATAATTAAGTCCCCTATATTACACCCACATACAAGTTTAGGGTTTATGGTATACAGTAACTCATGTAACTCACAACTGTTCACAACTCAGATCCCTACCCAATGTCCCTGCTTCGACGACTATGGGCAATCCGGACATGCACAGAGCGGATAAGCTGCTCTGTCTTGGGCTGCTTCTTTGATGGCTGCTCAGTTGATTTTGTAGAGGTACCATAAGGGTTCTGTAGGGGTACCATAAGGCTAGGGGGTTTTAGGGTTTGGGGGGCTTAGGATTTAGAGATTCAGGCTGCGCACGGCTGCACCGACAGGTCTATTCGGGTATAGATTCGACAGGTTAGGGCTTCGAAAATAAAGTTTAGGGCCATGATGTACGACCAAGCAAAAGACTCAGGCGCGAACCACCATTGGACCATGGGGTAACAAGTAATGCCAAGCCGGTCCACATGGGAGTCTTGACGGTAAAACTTGGCAACCACGCCGTGTGATTTGGCTACGTGGGATGAGCTGTGGACGAACTATTGCCTATCGCTTCGGTTGCAGCTTAGGAAAGGATGCAGAAGCATTGAAGTTGTGAAAACAAGTAAGCTATCAGACTAGCTGACTGGAATCGAATAGAGCCTTAGGGGGACTGATTTAAGGATAACAGGTCCTTTCGACTCCTGCTGAATGGTGTCGGATATGGCGTTCATGATCTACAACCCTTTCGAGGCACATTCGCAACGTAAGCCGACGAAATATGTCGCTGTCGACATGCGCTGCAGGGGTCTTTGCGTGGAACTCGATCGGGATCATCCCCGAAAGCAGTACGGTTTCCGAGTCCTTTGCTCGAATAGAACATGTCATAAACTACCGTATACGATGCCCGTCCAGAACACATCATCATGCCACATTACCAGGCATTTCGTCAAGAGCATTGCGACATCATGCGACAAGATCGAGCAGGTGCGGTGTGTTCGAAATTCGGCTCCCGTTGATGCTACATATGTGAATACGAAAGTTTGCAAGGGCCCTGAAAGCTTGAACCACTTAGAGAAACTACACAGATAGACAAATGACATAAGACTCAGAATCCTGACAAAGTTACTCTGCAGAAACGGTCGGTACAAGATCATGGAAACACAAACACTCAATGCTCAGGCTGGCAGGAACCCTAAAGCCAAGTCCATAAAAACAATTAGCAAACAACAGTTCTCCCTAAACCCTAAACCCTGTTGCCTAAACCCTACACCCTAAACCCGAAATCAGGAAAGGTGCACCCCACAACGTTTAGAGCTCAGGCTGAGGGTTAGGTGGATTAGGGTATAGGGCTTAGCCGTACCTTCGTAGGTTCAGGGTTTCAGCCTGCTAAACCCTTAGCATCCGGTTGAGGGTTTAGGGTTTTTCTTATAGGGTTTAGGGTTTAGGGTTCATTATAGGGTTTAGGGTTTAGGGTTCAATCGCCCAAAAGCCTTCTAGAAAAGGGTCTTTGGGCCCAAAGGATTTAAAGATACGAGTCCTCTCAGGGTAAGGGAATATAATCTGTCTGAGCTGCAAGTTTTACTGCGCAAGATTTCAGATACCCAGGCTTCCGAATCTGATCTTGCAGATTTGAACCCTAAACCCTAAACCCTAGGGTTTAGGGTTTCGGGCTCCAGGATGCTTAAGCCTTCTTAAGATTGTTTGGAAGCCCGAGCCAAAGGCCGTCGTGAAGCATCTAATGTAGGAGGCCTTAACAAGTAGAATAGGATTTCTAAGTAGGGGCCTTAGTAAGTAGAATAGGGTCTTTAAGTAGGGGCCTTGACAATTAGAATAGGGTTTTGGGGTATGTTATACTATAGTTCTGATAAGGAACCCCCAAAATAGTATAGGCAATTATGAAAGCCCCTATATTACCCACAAAGCGCCGCAAGTCGTAAGCCTTTACCGGGGTGCTTCCGCATGATGATCTGAAGAACAAGCCGAAGGGACCCCGTGACGACCAGGCTCCACAAAGAAGCCTTAAATTATGGAGCCTACACCTGGCTATATAGTTCATACAGTACGGCACCCTTATTAAAAAAATAATCCTAAATTTGGACCCTAATTTGAAGAACTACCCATATGC